GTAAAAGTCATATATATGCATGTATAACGCTGTGTATCATGATATCTACTTATTTGGATAGTGTATCTCACTCCTTATCAATTTTCAGATCTGCAAAGACCATTGAAGAGTAAGCGGTAATAATAGAGAAGTCTTTTGCAAGTTAGGCTCTATAAGAATTTTAGGTTACTATCTTGTACTTTTGCTTCATAATATAAGAAAGAAAAAATTTTAGAGTCTCATTTTGCATGTATCTAAAGTACATATATATCAAGGGATATAACGCTTCTGGATGTTTCAATTAATGAAAGCTTATTATATTTTATTTAATTAAGTGTAAAGTGTAGTGTGCTCCGAACACACCCTATAAGAGAGGGATGTCTGTCATATTAGCAATATTTCTTTTTACAAATAAATCATCTCAAGCCCAAATCTTCCTCCCCCAATCAAGCCCCAATAACCCAATCAATTCCAAAAAGCCCACAAATCAAACACCACAAACAATGTGGTAGAACACCACAATAAAAGATGATTGCACATTTCCCCGACCTTTAAACAGCAATAACAGTCGTTAACTAAAATCCTTCCCTTGCTTCTAAGCCTATCCATGGTTAAACTTCTTTCCCAGCAAGCCTCCCAAGCAAAAAACGCAATGCAGGGAGGAACTTTAGTCTTCCAATGAGTTTGCCGGAAATCCACTTCTGCTAGCAGCATCCTTTTTACACAGATGATTATAATAAGACATAATAGAAAAGTTACCATTTTTTCCAGCTTCCAAACAATCTGATCATCACTGGTCGAAACCCGCTGTGATTCAAGAGTCTGCCACATTTCATCAAAATCATCCACCTCCCAATCATTAAGATTCCGGTTCACATTGATAGACAATACAGTGCTCCTGTAGAAAAGCTTATGCGCCTCTTCAACAGTCAGATCTAGATTGAGCAGTGTTAAAAATTCTAGGAAACCTTCTCATCAAATAGCCTTCCCCAACCCATTCATCCTCCCAAAAATTGATCTTGTTACCTCTCCCAACCTTCCATTTTATGCATTGCCGAAAAGAATACAACTGCATTAATATTTTTCTCCACAAACCACGCCCATGGGGAATGGAAATTCTGTTGTCATTGCTATTAGCCATGTGATCACCCCATCTTGATGCAACAATCCTTCTCCAAAGACAATTTTCTTCACTCCAATACCTCCATAGTCATTTACCTTGAAAAGCTTTATTCAATTTAACCAATGAGCGAATCCACAATCCCCCATAGGTGAGAGGGCCTTTGATGTCATCCCAATTTACCAAATGATATTTTCGATCATCATTACCATATCAAAGAAATTTACATTGTATAGATTCCGATTTTTTGCCACCTTAATAGGAATAGCGGTAGTAGATAACCGGTTCCCAAGTGATTTGGTCTTCGTATTTAGCACCCAACGGAACCCAAGATATTTGAAAGGAAATTTAACTGCTTTGCACCCCAGAATTTTGGCTAAAGGCCCAGCATCACCACTTCCTCCAATTCTAACCAATTCAGATTTATTAAGGTTTATCTTGAGTCCTGAAACTACTTGAAAACACAAAAGAACACATTTCAAATGTAAAAGATTATTCAGATCTGGTTTACAAAAAAATTAAAGTATCATCTGCAAACAAAAGATGAGTGACAACTGTACTGTTCTCCCCCCTCCTCACTGAGACACCTTTCATCAATTGTAGATCATTAGCCTTCTTTAATAAGTCATTAAGAGATTCTATAACTATTATAAAAAGAAGAGATGATAGCGGATCCCCTTGCCTTAAACCTCTCGAAGCAGTGAAGAAACTTGAAGGACCCCCATTAATTAACACGGAAATACCTATAAGAAGCCAGTGCATGGAAATACCTAGTATTTCTATCACCTTCTTCCAACCATTTCTCCCTAGATCTCTGCCTCCACGATACTTCCTCATCCTTCAATTGTGATGCCAATCTTAGTTTCAATTTTCCTCTTTTATTTCTCTCTTCATCAGTTAAACTCACTGAATCCTATCTCAATTCCAGATTACTGATTTCAGCCAAGGTGATCTCAAATCCTGTTTTTTCCTGCCCCAAAACCTCCCTAGTCCAATTCTTGATTTCATTCTTAAGAATTCTCATTTTATGTGTAAATTTGTAGCTGGCACAACCCTCGGTCACAGTGTTAATCCAAGTCTTTTCCACAAACAGATGGAAATTCTCCTTCCCCAGCCATTTGTTATCCAATCTGAAAAGGAGAAAGGCCCCAATTGATCCTCTCCGCCTCAATGCAGAATGAGATAGTGATCAGAAGTGGGCCTAGGCATTGTTTTGTGGCTGACCACAACAAGATCCACCATTAAATTGGCATAAACAAAAAACCTGTCAATTCTAAATCTGCTTTTTTGGTTTGACTAAGTCCATTACCTTTTTGATAATGGGAGATCAACTACCCCCACCTTATCCATCCTCTCCTTGAATTCCTTTGCTTCCATAACTGAAAAATTACTACCACTCCTTTCATTTCTTTGCATAGTCATATTGAAGTCCCCACCAATTATCCAGTTACCTCCCCATTTGGTTCTGCAATTCTCCAGTTCCTCCCAGAGGATATCTTTCTCAGTTCTATTACCTCTGCAATATACGCCAGTAAAAATCCATCCGAATCCTCCACTATGATTCTCAAAAATGCAGGATAAGGTGCATTCCCCTTTGATTATATCCGCACATAGCACATGATCATCCTTCCATGGAATAACTATTTTGGCCGCCAATCCTTTTGCAGGGATTGTCTGCCACCCGTTATCTTTCACACTCCAGATACTATTAATTACCCCATCATTGTACTCTTCCATTTTTGTTTCCTGTAAGCAAACCACCATGGGACTCCATTTGCTCAGACACCCACAAATAATTAATCTTTTCCCTTTAGCATTAATACCATGAACATTCCATGAGATTACCTTGCCAATCATTGACAAATCAATCTAATCCCACTAGCTAGCTTACCTCATTTTCTTCTGTTCCCATAATTTATCGTGGTTTCTAACCTTTTTAACTCTCTTGGGATACCCACAGTTTGTTTTTTCTTCTCTTTAATGGCCACCCTATACTTCTTCTTTAGAATTTTTCTTTTTTCTAACTTTGAGAAGAAAAAAAAGTGAGATGGTTCATACCTTTAATCAATACACTCATCTATTTGCTGAATTTCTAGACATTATTTGTCATCTACTGTGAGCAGTAGTCCATCTCTTTCGTTGCGATATTCACATCCTTCAAACTTATCTGGAGGATTTCTTCAATTTCTGAATCATACCCACACACGATTGTCCGAACATCATCATCTACCATAACCATTGCCAGGTTCGAATATGTCTATTCCTCAATCGTCGATACTCTGTCTTGGTTATCAAAGTCTTCCATAGCAGAAAACATAGAAACCCGCTCGTCATCATTACCTTCACATGATCTTTTGACTCACATACGGCCTCATATTCTTCAACAGTCATACACTTCACCTTTTCCTCAAGCCCTAATTTTTCTCCTTCGACATTTCGGCCTTCCTTTTCCTTTGCATTTTCTTCACCAAGTGATAAGTCCTCTTTTATTCCGAAACTCTCACCCTGTGTCGGGTTAAAACCCATGCCCAAAATGGTTTGTAGGATAGGCTCTCTTTAGTCGCTGGGGCCGCAATCCATTTCTCCTTCTCTTGCCAAGTATATTTGTTGGTCTTACCTAGCCCATTCATCTTTGTTTTATGTTCGTTTAGGCCATATGTCGTGAAGAGTCTTTCCCCTGAAACCCATAATGATGAGAGCTTCTATAGTTTTGGGCTTTACCCACATCTATTTGATTCGGGTCAACCCTATCCAACTTACCACTAGGCTTCCTCTGCCTACCCGTTTCACATCTCCTTCACCATATTGCAACGCCACCACAAATGATTTTGGAGCACCACCATTCATTGAGACATTGTTCAGGACATTGCAATGCGGACATCGAAACGATAACTACCATGGTTCCTTGGGCTGACTTGCCTTTTCGATATGCACACTCCTACTCACTCGACCCTTCTCAGGCCCGTGGTTAGGGTTTTTTACTGGTCTGTTCGCAAGCTCAAGCGCAGTATCCAGCAACTTCCACCATCCTTTACCCTGTAGGCCATCGGGGAAGAAAATCATCTTCACTTGCATTGCACTGTTAAAGCCAGATATTCCCTCTTCTATTCTTCCCAAAAGATAACCATAGCTCGTAGTTTTTCTTCGCCAAATGTTTAGCCCACGTCCACTATCTCTCCTCCACCAAAACTCATCCAAAGTATCAAGGAACCACTCGTACTCATCTTTGTCTAAGAAAATCGAACACCTCAAACCACATCCATTCTCAGTAATACGCAAACTATCCAACTTTCTCTCCTCACAAACCAAGTCAAATGATTTATTCTCGATGACAATATATCTTCTTCCAAACAACTCATGTCTAGCCTAGATGGGATGACCAGCCCAAACAGCCAACCAGAGACCCAACAAAGCGGAGGGCTAGATAGTTTTTTTGGATAGAGAAAGTTGTAATTATGATTTAATTCCTTTCTTAATTAACGTGATTTGGGATCTCTCAGTTATGCGGGATTCAATAATACTCCTTTTATACTCTATTTCGCATTAATTAAGGATATCACCTCATTCAGAGACGACATCTCTTCCTTTCCCAAAATCTGAATTCTCATATGACCATACTCTTCATTGAGTCTTGCTATAAATTGGTAGGCTCTGTCTTTCTCCAACAAATCTTTTTAAGGTTGTCGCATCTTTACTGCTTTTTATAGTGATATTATGGTATTAATCAAGCAAATGTCACAAACCTTTTAGAAGTTTCGTATATTTGTGACTATCTTGTTGCCATGTTTAATTGTCCAAGCCTTTGCGATCAGATTATACATCTGAGTTGCATCTTTTCCCTTTGAATATATTTCTCTAATCAAATCCTAAATCTCCTTCGCTGTAAGGAAAGACGTAACTGGTTTATTAATCTCATAGTGCTAGAGTTTGAGAGTCATATCGTGATCATTAAATCTTCTTAACCTCAAGCATCAAAATAAGATCTTTTGACTCTGGTCTAGTGCCAATAAGAGGGATTAGTTTTTGCTTACTCTTGAAGGTGGTCTAAATTACTTACAACCAATTCAAGTAATCTTTAGCGTTGAAGTGGTAGACAACCTATATTTGCTGAAACTAACGTTTTGTGTTGAGTTTTCCGCAGGGAAGTTTGTGCCGGTAGATTGAGATCTAATCTCCAACATCTTGTAAAAACTTTGACAATTAAAGCCAATTAAAAGTGAAAAAAAATATAGAAATTACCAAATCCGTGACTGTGGCGTGGCGTGGCTGAGTGGTGGCTCCATGACCCAAAACCAGCTAGAGGTAGTCATGCGATAGGGGAGCAGATGTGGCTGGCTGCTGTAACAGTAACATACAGGTTGTGTGACTGAAACCAGCCGGAGGCAGACATGCGGGAGGTAGCATATGCCGCTGGCAGTTGTAACAGTGGTGCACAGGCAGGTGCATGACTTTATGGGATGATTCTAGCTGGACAGTAGCTACGTACATGGTGGCAGGACGGTGGCACACAAAGGGAACAAAGACTAGGGTATAGTCAGACAGGACCTTGACGCACAGTTAGAGTCGTCTGGACACGCAGCTGAGATGCAACCAGGCCATTGGAATGGGCAATGAAGGCCAGTTTTTGTGCTGGTTGTCGATTAGTGTTGGCCGATTGTTTTGGCGATGGGGGAGGCAAGAATGAAGGCTACCCTCGTAGAGTTTTCTTATTCCAGCAATGAAGGTCAATTGAGTTTGTAAAATAATTTAGGATTTTCTTAACTTAGTGATGTGATCCTGGATGGCTCTAATTCAGTTCCAAAGATAAAATCCTACATCAAGGAGGAACTCCATGAAAATCCAGACTCCCACAAAATAATTATCCACGAATCTACCATAGCACGAGATCCTACCCATGCAGTACAATAGAAGAGAACGCATAGGTGTAGGAAAAAGGAGAAATCCTTTTTCTTGCAAGGATTCCCGTAGGTCCCATCCCAAACAAGTAATTCCAGAGTTTCTTAAATGGGATCGGCTCAAACGGGAAAGTAAATCTTAATTTCCTAAATGGAAACACTCTGAACAGGAAAGTAAATCCTAATTTCCTAAATAGGAACACTCTGAACAGAAAAGTAATTTCATCCCTAACTACTTTTCTAAATGGGACTTTTCCAAGGAGTGGACCAATTTTGTCCAAAGGAAACTTGAACCCCAAGTAATGCTTCATGGGCTTGGAGAAGTTACAAGACAACAAGAAAAGCCCATTTGTGGCCCAACCCAAAGTGGCTCAAAGACCTCATGGCCAAAGTGGGCCAAGACCCAAAAGAGAATGGTGGACAGCATGTGCCGCACGTGACATCCCTTCAGCACATGTGCAGGCAACCACGTGTGAGGGAGAGCCCACCTGCACATGCGGGTCCATCGCCTGCGTGAGACAGCACGTGAGGCGTGCAGACAAACAACTCTGCACGCCCAGTGCGCGCACGGATGCGTGCAGGAAGTACCCCACATGCGCACAACAGCCTGCAAGCGCACGAAGCAAAGTTCACGCCCAGCAAGGGTGCACGCGTGCGGCCCAAGCCCATGCAGCAGCAGCCCACGCAATCCAGGCTCAACCCAAGCAGCCTGCGCCCAGGAACCAGACCCACACGGCCCAACCAGCCCTTCTGCACGACCCACAGCCCAGCCCGCGTGACCCGACTTGCGTGGCCCGCGGCCCAGCATAAAAGGCCCATGGCCCAACCTGCACGCAAAACCGGCCCACCCGTGCGGTTGGATTCCCCTAGTCCTTTTTTGGACTCCCAAATCACTAGTTTTCCTATTTTACACGGTATTCAAGTTCCCAAATTTTTCCATGTGCAAAATATGCCAATTATGAAAGTGGAATTCTACTCAAGGTTGAAGAGAAGATATTCTTGAAGAATTAGGAAGAGGAGACCATTATTTAATATTATTTAATTAATATTTTAATGCAAGCCTTATACATAGAATTAATTAATTGTTATTTTAGGATTTGGAGAAGGATAGGTATTTATTTTATGTATTTAAATTCAAATTAAGATAAAATTTTATTATTTAATTAATTAAGTATTTGTTTCACAATTAAATTGGAAATTAGAATATGAATAGAAATTTTAAATCCTATTCCATGTAGAAGTAGTAATTAAGAGCCTATATAAAGGTTTTACCTAAAACATTGTAAACACAATCTTCTTGAGAATTAATAAAATTACGCTTTGAGCTTTTATTGGTCTTGTGCTAAGTTTTCTCTTCAAGTTCTTCCAAACTATGTGAGCTTGCAGAAGTCTTGATTGAGCCGAGAAGTTGGGATTGACTTGAGAAGTTGGGATTGACTTATCGGGTAAATCCGTGACGTCTTTCTTTTTCTCGTTTTTGTTTTTCTAATTTTTGTTTTTACATTTTTTATTTTACGATTGTAAATTCAATTAAAGGGAGGGATTTTAATTAGGTTGTTTGAGTTTTGATATTGCATGCGATTGGGTTAAGGTTCCGGAAGTCAAAATGATCTTCCCCATACCCTCCCGTGTCACTTAGGGTTTTGATACTATGTGAAAGAATAAATTGGTGTATATTTCACTGAATACTAGCGTCTATATATACAAGTGAATAGAAACAATGAAGGAGAACAGTATTAATCAAAACGATTAAAAATATCAAGGGTATTAGTAATTATAAAGATTACAAAGATCTAGGTTATATTACTATGTACCTTTTACCCAATGAAGCCTTAATTTGTAGTTCTCAACAGATAATTCTGTATCAGCATATAAATATTTATTTCACTGTTTTAGGATTGTTCTGTTTCGTTATTCTAGGGAACGAATATTCTCCACCAACCTTGTAAATTTAGTCTCTGTTTTAGGATTATTCTATTTCTTTATTTTACTGAGAGAATGATCTTCCGCTAAGTTGATTGTAAATTAGTTAAAATTATGATATTTTATTAGAAGAATTAATTAGGAATGTTTGATAGACAAAATACTACCTAACCTAATGTACTCTGCCATGTACAGATGCAGAAAAGTGTGTGAATAAGAA